TTAGAACAACCCCCCCCCCCCCAAAACCATCCTATCACTAGACACTAACAGGCTACTTTGATTGTCACTGCAAGGCCCAATTTTTTTTTTTTTAAATTCCACACAGATGCTGTTAGCAGCAAGCTTCAAGGTAGCAACATCTTCACCATAGCCAAGAGGAACGTGGAGGGCCAAGATATGCTCTACCAGTCACTCAAACTGACCAACGGTATCTGGGTTTTGGCAGAACTACGAATACAGCCAGGCAATCCCAGCTTCACGGTAAGTCCTGCTTCTCCCAGTCTTCTCTTCAGTAATACAGTGCCCCCAAAATACAAGGTCCCCCTTCAACTCCTGCTTAGAAAGGTGAATTGGGGTTCCCATCCTTTGGTGAATGTTCTTGTGGTGGTGGGAGTCCCCAGGCACAGCAGGATTGCATGAATGTGCCAGAAACTGGTGGTGTAATTAAGGATATCCAATCTGGGTGAAATTCATACTGGACTGGAGAAAAGGATAACCTGAGTTCTCTTCCCCCTGCTTCTTCACAAGTGCTTATGAGAAGAGGCTCTGCTCTTGATACTGGAAAGAATGCCTTTTGGGGCAAAGGGCCTCTCTACTCTGATTCATAAGGCTAGGCTGAGTTACAGGCTGGGAGAGGAGATTTTTTTTCCCTATTTCTATCTGTTACCCTTGATTTCTGATTGTAGACATCATTCCCTAAAGAGTAAAGGGGAACAGTGGCTGATTGAGCCAGCTTGGTGTCTGCTAAGCTGTTCAGCAGTCTGTATGGCCTAATCAGATAAATCGAGGGAAAAGTGCCTTGAGCTATAGTAACCCACAGGGTCAGTAACTCAGGAGAACCACAAGCATTTCCCTTAACTTAAATTGACAAGTTGGATTCTAAGGAGATTAAATGCTCTCCATGTGTTTGTCCCTCATGGTAGAGCCAAACAGCAGCTGCAAAGGCAGACCCTTCCCCAGACAATAGTAACTAGCCCTGCTCCCCTCTGGTCTGAGATGCTGACAGTCAAGCCATCAGACTTGGTTTCAGGATTATCCAGCCCCCTGACCAATTTCAGCCCAGGTAAAACAGGTTCTAGGCATTCCCCTTGCAGCCTTTTGTTGTGTTGCATTACAATGAGCTCAGTTTCGCGTGTTGATTCCGGTCTCTGTTTCATTGCTGCATGCCCACCTGCCCACCGCTGGTCTGCCTTGATGTTGCAGGATTTGGAGGTTAGCAGACTTTTTTTTTCTTTTTATGGCTGTCTCCAGCTGCCTTCTTGCCACTCACCACTGGTATTTTTTTAGTCTCCCACTGCCTGCCACCCCATTTCATTTCTTTCCCTTGTGCCTCTGTTCCCTCCAGCACTCCCTGCACAGCATGGGGTGGCATTGAGCTGCTGCTGTGTGGTAGACCGTACTACTGAGGGAGGGTGGTGGGAGGAAAAGAGGAACAACAGCTCTTAAAACTGCTTCACTGCCCAGAAGACCCACATTTTCAAAAGCAGCTAGTGACTTCATTCTTTGTTGTAGGGCAAGTCGGTGCTGAGTACTAGCCAAGCACCACCAAAAGAAGCTAACCCCAAAGCACTAGTAACTTCTGCAAACATTTGCCTTTGTATTTGCTACCTTGCTCACCCAGCCATAAAGTGATCCTTGGCAGTTGTTCTGCATTTTGTTCCCCATTCCCTTATCCTTCACCTACTTCCTAAAAGGTAAAGCCAAAGAGGGAAAAGTTGAATTCAAATCCTCTCATCAGAAAAATAACTCCAAGTCTTTAGCTTCAGTTTGAGATGATATAAAATGTCAGCTCCTACAGAAACTAACAGAATAACAACCAGTAATTCAACCCCCCCAAACAGAAGAGTATGCACTTGCCCACTGCTCTTTCTACCTTCTGTCTCTAAGCTGCATGCAGGGGAGCTCTGCTTCTCAACCTGCCATAAGGGCTGGTGGAGGTGGATGGGGAACAATGCACTGAGAAGATTACTCCAATTAGGAGTTGGTTTATTTTGAGGATCTCACCTTGGTTTTGTGACTTGGGTTTCTCAAAATGGTCAGCCTCCTCATGGCTTGAGATGTTGGCTGGTCTGTGAGGGGGAGGAGCTGTGAGTGGATTTAGCAAAGCCCAGGCCTGGTTGAGCAGCAGAATAATTAGAGGTTGCACTTTGTAGCATGTCTGTGACACCCTGCTCTTTTTGAAGGCTTTGGATGGCTGTTTCCTGCTTTCTTACTCCCTCCCCTGGTCTTCAGCATTCTCCTCTTTACTCCTGCAGAAGCCTTCACTGGAGCTCAGATCCTGTACCCCAGTTCCTAACTGCAGCTGGCAATAGGGGCTGAGTGGGGACTGGTGTCCTGTGCCTCCACAGCTATGGGTGTAAAGTGCTACTGGATTGTTTTTTCTCGTTTTTCTTTGCAGCTGTCTCTGAAATGCCGAGCGCCTGAGGTATCCCAGCACATCTACCAAGCATACGAAACCATCTTGAAGAATTAATGCACTGAGGCACCCTCTTCCTCCTCCTCCTCCTCCTCCTCCTCCTCCTCCTCCCCAATCCCAAATGAGGAAATGGGACCAGGACCTATGTGCATGTCTCCTCTTGTCCCTGCAAAGAACAGATGCAAGATACCCCCCCCCAAACCTCACTGCTGTCTCTTAGATGCTGAACATGGAGTAGGTGGCAATGCCTAAGGTCCATTTTCAGCTGCCCAGGATCAGGGAGTGGGAGGAAGGGAGGAGGGCTCCTGTTGAGATTCAGTGCATCAGTGTTGAGTTCTTTTGTGTGAAGTAATGCAGTGTCCTCTTGGCTAATGTTGCCCCTTTTAATAGCCCTGTTGCCCTTGAAATTGAGTGCTTTCTTAATGAAATCCCAAAGCCAGCCTGAGAACTGAATTCAGGGGACAGCAGATATTGCTGTTAGCTCCCCTTTTGATTCTTGCTGCTGGTTCCATCTTGCCTGCCCTGCCAATTCAATCAGTGACTTGATGCTGTAGTGTGGTTTGTGCTGCATTGCCAAGCCCAGCCCTGGAAAATCAGTGTTTTTGCCTGGTGAATGGGTCTCTTGTATTTGAGCGCATGTGTCATCTGCTAAAGAAGTGGTTGCTAACAGATCCTCTTCTGATGGGATAGTTGCCATGAAGCACTGCTCTGGCTGCCTCCTTTCCCAGTATTGTGAGCCTGGAGTTAATTGGCTTGCAGCTGATTTAAGATCTAAGACACCTTGAATAATTTTCCTCCTTTATTTGGACTGATAAAAAGAACTCCTGGGTAAAGCTGGAGGCAAAGTCTGCTAGGGAAGGTCAAAGCAGGAAATTGTTCCACAGGAGCAGCTCAGCCTGCAGAGGCAAATGGCCCCATCCTTTTCATCCCCAATTGCTCAAAGTCTCTGTGGGGAGAGGTTGGCAGTTGTGTGAGCTGCTAGTCTGGAATGTGAATTGCTGCCTGCAGTCATTACCAGGAGGTAGGTGGCAAAACTCCATTATAGCTCTTCCCTTCCCCAAGGCACTTATAAAACAGTTTCCAGCTGCAGGAAAAGAAAAGCCTCTTCCTGGACTGCAGGGCCCATTTTGAGTGTGAATTGGCTCACTGTGGCTGCTTTCCAAGGAGCCTGCAGGGACCAGGTGCCCTGGAAACTCCAGCCAATGCCCACAGCTGCTATGAGAAGGAAATCAATGCCACCAATGAAAGAAATAATGCACATTTTAAATAGGTCTGAGGGAGGATGGAATATGCATTAGACCTGAGCTCACAGCACCTCTGTGAAAAGGAGTCTGCAGGCACTAAGATATACATCAAATCCCTTAAGTGCTGGTACCCACCCATCACTAACAGCCATCTTTGCAATTAAGTTTCTGAGAAAAAGGGTCTTTTGAGGCAGCTGTAACCTAAGGTTACTTGCAAACTGCCCCTTGAAATCCTAGGCTTCTGTTTTCTGTAAGGCTCACACTCTAGCCCTAGTCTCATTTTTTTTCCCTCCCTTACTTTTTAACCACAACAGCAGCTGTGATAAACCATTCCTAGGTGTCCTGGTTTGTGGGGGAAGTGAGTGGGATCTGCACTTACTGCCCCAGGGAACTGTGTGATTCTGCTGTGCTCATCAGCTACTGCAGTCCCATCAGAACAGGGGAGCAGCTGTGTTCCTGCTGAAATATTGTGGGCTGCTTGCAGTGTTGCTCTTTGGAGGGTTTAGGGGAACACTGCCTTTTCAAATCAGTGACACTAATTATTTTCTTCCTTCCCAAAATTAAAGCAATTGATCACCCTTAAATAGAAGTGTTTGGTGCGAGTTTTTGGATCCCACCAGTAAATATCTAATATATATAATATAAATATATTGTATGTTTACTTGTTTAAAAACATTGAATAAAAATGACATCTTCCCATCATGCTGCTGTCTGTGTAGAAGACCAGGGTAAGAAAACAGTGCCACGGGTGACCCTGATATGCAGGGGTCTGCTCACTTGCTATCTCTCTCATCACTTGCACAACTAGAGTTCAGCTAATTATTTTTTGTTTCTGGATCTCAGACCTGAGACCTCATAGAGGAATTACTTGTCACTCCTCAACAGCAAGATGCTAGTAAGGATTTGCCCATGAATTTTCTAGGACCCATGAATTTTCCAAGGGAGGAAGGGGCAGGAAATATTCCAGTACCAGCCAGGGCTTCCTCAGCAGTGCCCAGTTGGTGCCAGCCCAAGCTGGCAGCTGGCAGAAGCTACTGAATCCTGCTGAACTCTTGGACCCTTGGAATCTCTTACTCCTGAGTTTATATTTCCGAATCTCATCACTGCACACTTCCAGGGACAGAATGAGGCCTCTGAACAGCTTATGTTCACTGGTGTGTCTCTAGGCTTAGTTGGAAACTGGTCATGCTCCCATTAATTGGTCAGCCCTGACTTGAAAATCCAAACCCCCTTGTCCTCGCATGCAGCTGTAGCCTTAGACCTCCACTGCTACCTTTTTGGTCTCTGGACTTTTGCTTGAAAGCTTACATTGCTTTGACATCTGTTAATTAACCCACACAATTCATACTTTTCAACACTAGAGGGAACTTAACAAATGGGAGTAGAGGGGAGCATGTATTACATCTACCATATTGTTCTGATTGCTCAACCCTCTGTCTACTGTAGTCCTTGGGAGAGGGAGGTGGTTTGAGGGTGAGGAAATTGTTGGCCTATACTTGGTACAGGACGGTATTCCTGTTCTCTGCTGTTTCACTGGCACTGCTCATGACACATATGACATATGAAAAATACATAGTAGAAGAAAGGGATAAACCAAATCCAAAGTGACCAGAGCAGGGACTGGATGCCCCCTTGGAAACCAAGGCAGGGACCAGGAGGCTTAAGTACAAGTGTAATGCCCTCCCCTGCCCTTGCAGTCTCCCCAGGGCAGTGAGGCCACTATAGAAATGGGGATTTTTTGTGCCTGGTGTCCGTGGTGCTGGGCATGTCGAGGTTCCTTAGTGACAGGGGTGACTCCCCCCTCCATCTTCCTGTACCAGTTACTTGTGTAAAGGATGTGTAAGTACCAGGGGTGAAACTTTGCCCTATTACAGTTCAGTAGAGAAATCTTATTACCTGGAAAAAGGTCAGGAATTCTGCAGGCTCTTACTGTGTAGATAATGCTAGACAGCATCTTGTTCCAGCACAGTGTGCATGGGGATCTGGACTGCTCTGTCCTCTCTTTCCCAATGAAGACTGAGCATTGGCTGTTAGACCCAAGGCTAGCTTGCACCCCCTCCTGTGAGATTCATTGTAACCAGCCCCTGCTTCCACATGTCAGCCAAGGGCTGCTGTGATCTGAATCTTTCTGGCTTTTTTGGATGCCAGCTTGCTTGTTTCTGAAGAGAACAAGAATCTAAAATGGTTGAGCAGAACAGAATAGTTGGCTTGTGCTAATGGAGAAGTGGCTGCCTCTGTCTCTTGCTGTTGAGACTTTAGCTGCTGAAGACTTCATTCTGTGCTGAGCAGAGCCACGGGACCTGTTCCTAGATCTCTTCTGACATGGTCACCCAAAACTCCCTTCAAGGCACACGGGGCAGGGTGGAGTGTTTATACCAGGAGATGAAATGTATGTTGTGCTAAGCAACTGTTTGCAAAGAAACAGATCTAGAAGCAGGGGGTCTGAGACCCGACCACTGAAAACTAACCTTGGATCTATTAAAGGGTAGGCAACTCCTGGCATGCAAAGGCATTTTGCTTGCCAGTGCATGTTGGGGCAGGTGGTGGGGAAGGGGCCAGGGCTGCATTGCCACCACAAGGTTTGGGGCCCCTTGTGGCTCCCCTGCCATCTGCCCCTGGCAAACTAACAACTCACAAGTTGAGGTTGTGGGTGTTTTTGTTGCCACTCCCTGATATATAACATTGGGCTGAGGGCAGGCTTCTTGTAGCCTCTGACACCTGGTGCATTTTCCATCCTGCCACTTTGGACCTTTTCCCCTAAGGTGGGCAATGTAGAGTCTGCTTTCTCCCACATGCCCCATTCACCTCCTAATATGAAGAGAGGAGTGTGCAGATGAACTGATCTACCTGCAATCGAACAGCAAGACAGAAACAGGACCTTTATCCTGTTTTTGTCTGCTCTAACGATTAGGCAGAGTGCCATTTATATCGGGATAAAACTATCAGCTGCATATCTGGTGTCTGACTTATTTTCTCTGGGATTTTCTTATTTTTTTTGTGATCTCTTGCTCTCTAACCACAACTGTAACTTCTAGACAAGCTCCTCCTACCACCTGCATGCCAGCTGAGATCAGTTTGAGAGGATGTTCCTTCATTCTGCTCCCTAGCTCTCTTGCAAGGGAGACCTGAAGGATAAATCAGCAAGGTGATTGTGGGGTGGGAGGGGAGAAGTTATGCCCACCTGGTAGATATTTGGATGCAAGATACAAGCTCAGTAGCTAATTGGCATGAATGTGAGTGTACATCATACAAGAGGGAGCTCCCTGTTAACTCAAACCTAGTCTAAATACAACGCTGGAAAAGTTAAATGCTTTAGGTTTAAACTGTTATATGGATTATACTGGCTTCGTTCACAGGAGGGAATTAACAGGAACAAGTTGAGCTGAAAGAATCTCTCAACTGCTCAGTCAATCCAAGTTACTCCCCTAATTTGATTTGATTGAAATCTAACTTGATTTTAAATCCATGCAATTTACATATGGTTGAGCCTGCCATGATACTAGGGCCCCTGGAGGGTGAATTCCTTGGCTTGGATCACTTATTTCATTGGTTTGTGGCTATATAACCAGGCTGTGTCCTGGAGGCATGGAGGTGAACAGTAAGCATCACTGAGCCTGTCAAGCTGCTCTTGCTGGTGCTGAGCTGATAACTGCTTTGGCCTCTGGGGAAGGAGGCTGGGATGTAAATGATGTGCAAATCGACTCAGATCCCGCTGACAAGTGCCTTGCTGGAGGGGTAAAAGACAGAAGCAGGTAAGTGGCTGGAAATGCTGGTTCTGGCATCCCTGCATTTGATGAGCTGGAAGCTGTTCTGCCTTTTTGCAGTACAGGGTTATAAGATGCTTTGCCATGGGCCAGTTTGTTCCACGGCTCAACTGGGATTAGAGTTGAACCTTATCTGAGTTGCAGCAGGTGACGAAGCCCTGCAGAGGGAGAGGGGTGGCTGGGAGGGAGGAGGGGTATGGAGCAGATGTACCAGTTCTGTGCAGTGCCTGGGGACTGCCCTTGTAGAGTACACTTGCCCTCCTGGCTGTTTGACTCTGCGAGGCATCTGGTGCAATGCGCTTCCTGCCACAATAAACAAATGTATGAGATGATGGGAGGCGGGAGGTCTGGGTGCAGTGACTGGGTCTGCCAGATGTTGTGGCCCTAGGGAAGTCGTGGAACCTCTGGGCCTTGCTTTCTGGCCTGCTGAATGG